TCATATATATACATATGTATTTTTTTAAAGATTATTTTAGAGCATGTGTGCATGTGAGTAGGGGGAGGGGGAGAGGGAGAGAGAATCTCAAGCAGACTCCCCACTGAGCGTGGAGTCATTTGTGGGGCTCAATCTCAAGACCCTGAGATCATAACCTGAGCCAAAATCAAGAGTCAGACAATCGATTCAGCCACCCAGGTGCCCCATCTTTTCTTGTATTTTAAAAAAATTTCTTGGAATTAAAAACTGCCTTATTTTTTTCAGTCCCATGATCTGCTATATACCCACTCTTATTTTTTCCAGATGCTCCACTAGATCCGCTATATACATTTAAGATTACCCCAAATAGTTTCACAAGTCTGATCATCTAGCAGTTATCACTCCCTCCCTGCCCTACCCTTTTACCCCTTTATTCTGCTCCTTAGAGTAGATTCTTTTGCTCTGATGCTTTTATTTTTAAAATAAAAATTTTTTAAAGATTGTATTATTAGAGAGCACGAGTGGGGGCGAGGGGCAGAGGGAGAGGGAGAAACAGACTCCTCACTGAGAAGGGAGCCCAATGAGCGGCTCGATCTAGAACCCAGGGATCATGACCTGAGCCAAAGGCAGATGCTCAACTGACTGAGCCACCCAGCTGCCCCTAAAATAAATTTTTTTTTTAAGATTTTATTTATTTATTTGACAGAGATAGAGATAGCGAGAGCAGGAGCACAAACAGTGGGAGTGGGAGTGGGAGAGCAGGCTTCCCGCCGAGCAGGGAGCCTGATGTGGGACTCGATCCCAGGACGCTGGGATCATGACCTGAGCCGAAGGCAGCCGCTTAACCGACTGAACCACCCAGGTGTCACCTAAAATAAATTTTTTAAGTTTGAATATAGTTGACACAATTCTGAGAACTGTTTGCTGCGTCCCATAAGTTTTGGTATTTTGTCTTTATTTTCATTTGTCTCAAAATATTTTTTTATATCCCTTTAATTTCTTCTTTTATTAATTGGATGTTCAGGAATGTGTTTAATTTCCATGTATTTGTGAATATTCCAGTTTTCCTCCTCTTAATGATTTCTAATTTCATTTCACTGTGGTTGGAAAAGATAATTGATATAATTTCTATCTTCTTTAATATGTTGAGACTTGTTTTGTGACCTAACATGATCTATCCTAGAAAAATGTTCCATGTGCCCTTGAAAAGAATGTGTTCTGCTGCTGTTGGGTGGAATGTTCTGTATGTGTCTGTTAGATCCATTTGGTCTGTAGTGTTCAAATCTGCTGTTTCCTTATTGATTCTCTATCTGGATAATTTATCCATTGTTGAGAATGGAATATTAAAGTCTCCAACTATTATTGTATAGCTCTGTAGTTCTCCTTTTAGTTCTGGTAGTATTTGCTTTATATATTTATGTAATATATCTGATATTTATATACATAATATCTAATATTTATATATAAATATTTATAATTGTTAGATCTTTGATGAATTGACCTCTTTATCCTCACATACTGACCTTTAAAACTAATAGAATAGTACATAAGGACTGAAGTTTTATTATTTGTAAATTTTACCCCCAAAATTTCAAGTAGATGTCAGGGGATCTTAGGATGGAGTGTGGATTATGACGACTGAATCTAAGTATTACAGGTGTATGACATAAATTCACTGAAGGGGTAAGAAAAAGGGAGATGACCTAAGTGGCTTTGGGAAAATTGTTTTGAGTGGATAGTATAAGGGTCTTAGTCCATTTGGGCTGCTATAACAGAATACCAGGGATGGAGTGGCTTATAAACAAAATAAATTTATTTCTCACAGTTCTGGAGGCTGAGAGGTCCAAGATCAAGATACCAGATGATTTGGTGTCCGGTGAGGGTAGTTTCCTGGTTCATAGATGGCTGTTTTTTTAGTGTGTCCTCGCATGGTGGAAGTGGCGAAGGAATTCTCAGGTGTCTTAAAATAAAGGACTACACGAAGAAAGTCCCACACAGGGCAAAAATTCCAGCACAAGCTGTGAGGACTCTTTCATCTTTTGGTAAGGAAGTGTTCCAGGCCAAGGCCATATGTATGAAAGACTGCATGCATGAGACTGCCTTTCTCAGCAAGAGGCAATTAAGGTTAAATGAGGTCAGAAGGGTGGGGCACTAATCCAATGAGACTGGTGTCCTTACAAGAGGAGGGGGGATAAAGAAACAAGATGGGAGTGAAGCTGGAGGTGTTTCAGATGACACATTACCTAACCTTTCCTGTGGCTATGTTCTGGATTGCCAGTCAGGTCAGGTGGTTTGAGGACTATGTCATACAGCACAAGAGGGAGCTGTGGCCACCTGAGAAGGAGGACCAGCTTGGAGAGCTAGAAGAATTCAGACAGGATATGAAGTAGCAGGAGAAGAAGCTCTTTTGCACTGCCCAGCAGAGCTCCTGAGGCCTCCAAGTGCCCCTCTACCCGGGAAATCGCGCGTGCGCGCACACACAGACACACAGACACACACACACACACACACTCACACACTTCCTTTGAAAAAAAAAAAGGAGGAAACAGTGAGAAGGTGTTTATCTCCAAGCCAGTAAGAGAGCTCTCACCAGGAACTGAATCAACTGGCACCTTGATCTGGGACTTCTAGCTTCCAGAACTGTGAGAAAATAAATTTCTGTTGTTTAAGCCACCCAGCCTATGGCATTTTATTACGGCAGCCTGAACAGACTCATACAGGCACCAAATTCCTCTTCCTTCTAGTCTCCTACCGTTGGCAGCATCTTCTCATGGTCCATGGTGTTATGGAAATAGGGTGTTTGGTACCTAATATGACAGTAGTCACTTATTTTGAACAATGGTTTGAGGGGCTTGGGGGTCAGATTTTAGTCACTTGTTCAAAGGGTTCAGAAGCAAACAAGCAGGAACTGACATGGGCTCAGAAGTGCTTGTGCCCCAAGCTTCTGCCGTCAGAGATGGAGCCAGGTTGTTGGTAAATATCCCCCAAATTAGCTACATCAGAAACAGGTTTAATTTGCTTTTTTGCTTATCTAACTTTAAGAACCATGCTTTGTTTTCTTAGAGAAATAAAATTTAATAACATTAGCATCTAAACTTTTTTGCAGGGGCGCCTGGGTGGCTCAGTCGTTAGGCGTCTGCCTTCGGCTCGGGTCATGATGCCAGGGTCCTGGGATCAAGCCCCGCATCGGGCTCCCTGCTCTGTGGGAAGCCTGCTTCTCTCTCTCCCACTCCCCCTGCTTGTGTTCCCTCTCTTACTGTCTCTCTCTGTCAAATAAATAAAATCTTATAAAAAAAAAGCTTTTTTGCAGATGGGTCAGAAATGAACAGTTCCTTTGGTTTTGTATCATGACATACAAACCTTATGTTCTCATTTTTTCCAGCTTTCAAAGTTAGATTATCATAAATGTATTATTCAGAAATTCCTTATGCCATGTCATAACCTGAGGTAGGGAATTTAAGAGGAAGAGATTTGGGACACTGTGCTAGGGGACTTTTCATTTGTCATTTCATTTATTCCTAAGTGCAGGTAGTGTTGCCCCTAACCTACAGTTGAGGAACTGAGCCCAGAGAAGTTAAGTCCTTTGCCTAGGATGGCACTGCTAGTAAGAGGCAGAGCTGTGTGTCAGCCCCAGTCAGGCTAAGATCCAAATTGTATATTTCTGTATGATAGTATTTTTCATTGGGAGTGTGGTGACTTTGCAGTCAGATTTATTTGAAAATATCCGGTAGTGATAGGCAGGCCTCTCTGGTCCTGGCCACTCGTTTGTGGCTAAAACGGCTGTATATAGGTAAGATGACTCAACTGCTTCAGGGTTATGAGCGCCTGTGTGAGAAAGGGGTTATCAGAGATCACTAATGTGGTCCAAAACCATGACCTAGAAGTCAGCATATCCTGTTCAAGTATTTGCCACTTACCAGGCAGAGAAACTGTAAAAGATAGGTGGTGGGGCGTCTGGGAGACAGGACTTAGAGCACAAGTTTATCATATGGGGTTCTTCATCTGGCACAGAGGCAACGGAAGCCACCTTTTATGAACAGGCCCTGGAAGGCTGGATTTCTCCAGGAAGGAGAATGAAACTCCTTTTCTTCCATTTGTAGGTCTAGTCACCCATGCATGTAGTCCTGTCACGAAAACATCTGAATAAGCACGTAGAGTCCATTGTGGTCAGTAAATGTAAAAATAATTACTGTTAGTTGCAATTTGTATTAATTCTTCTTCTTCAACCTTGAGATAATAGTCTGGGGGTAGGTCTATTTTTAGAGTCTGCGTTTTGCTGGGATAAATGCCATTAACCCCACTGTGTACTGAAGAACACAGAGCAGTCCGCAGTACCTTCCGGCTTCCTGAGCAGGTCCTCCATCTGTCTTCCAAGGACTCCTGTCAGTTTCTGAATTTCACATAGTCGTGGACGTCTTACGGCTTAGAGGGATGTCCAAAATAGGATAACCCAGAATTGGGGCGGGGGGGAGGGAACGTATGCAGGCATTTTTGTCAGAAGACCTATGTCATGTACAGGAAGAGTAAAAGGAACGGGCTGTTTTAAGGGCAAATAGAGTAAGTCGACTAATTTCAAGCAGGGCAAGATGTAAGGACCTGTCGTCCCAGTGCTCGTGCATGGCCAATAGTGTTTTTTCTGGCAGAGGAAACAATACATTCCGCCACTGACGGGAAAGACGGCCCAAGTAGGGGCTTCTCCGGTTTGGTCACTTTCGCTGACAAGAAAAAAGCCTTGAAACAGATTGTCCCTGGGAAACCCTGACGTTCGAAGGCGAAAGAAGCCGGTCCCGAGAAGGGCCAGAGCTCAGGCCACAGGGCTACAGCTGGGCGACCCCCTTGCGCGCAGAAGCAAGGCGGCACCGAGCGCGAGCGGCGCGCACAGCGCTTGCCTCGCCTCGGGGCTCAGCATTCCGCGCAGGGCGGCCGCGGCTGTCAGTCAGTGCCCTCGGCCCGCCCCTCCTGGGATTCAACCAATTGTAGCCAGGGGTCGGGGGTGAGGAGACGTAGGGGGGCCAGGAAGCAGGGGCCAGGCAGTCTGGCGCAGCGGCACCAGATCCGGGCGTCCGAATGCCGAGCGACCGGAGAGAGCACCGCGGACAGCTGGGCCTGGCGGTGAGTGCGGGACTCCGGCCTGTGCGCGGGCGCCGGGCTGGGTACCTGCCGCTCGAGCGACCCATTGCTTGGCGCCTCGCGAGCGCCTCTAGTCTGCGAAGCCCCTTCCTCCGCACGCGCCGACTCCTGAGTCCCCGGCCTGGTGCAGAGGAGCTGCAGACTCGGGGATTACGGCTGGAGGTTCTGGAACCAGAAAGGGGAGGCTTCAGCCCTAGGCGGGGGCAGAATTGCGGCCTCCGGCTGCCGCAGCCTCGGACCTGAGCTGCCCGAGCCGCTGCGGGTCCCGGCAGGGAGAGGGCGAGGCTGATGCGAACATCTCCGCGCTCAGTTTTCTGGACTTGCTGCAAGGCGGGCAGGTGCAGCTGCTAAAGACCTCTCCCTAACCCGGTGCGGTGCACTCTGCTACGCTTCCCTCCTCAGCCCCATTCTCCGGTCTCATTGCTGCCCCGGGGCCCAGCTGCCACTTGCCTGGCGATGCTCTCACACTTTGGACTCTTCTGACATTATTGAGCTGACGCTTTGGGACATCAGATTCAGGTCGTATGGGGAGAGAAGCGTGTGACTTTGCAAGGTGTGATGTGGAAACCCTGGTCTGTCACCCAACTCCGCTTGATCAAAGGCCAATAGGGTGGTGGTAAGTGGCATTCTCCGTCAGGATTTATACGAATTTTGTGTGTAATTGTCTGTAAAATTTTCCTTTCTTTTCATTATTTACTCTAAAGGAGGATTGCTGCCAATTTCCTAAAGATGAAGAATCACATTGCTCAATGGGCCTTCCCCTTCCTCAGTGTGGTTATCATTTGGAACATCAGGGTGTAACTTGAAGCTGGCGGGACTCCCAGACCCTGATCATTAATTGTCTGATTCCACGCAGTGGAGGCAGCAACACGCTTTCCTCCAAGGTGTTTGGGTTCTGCTTTCCTTTGACTGTACTTAGTCTCTTGTCTCCTTCACAGTCTCTGGCCTGATACAGTGCTGTTATTTGTTACTGAGATGGGAAACGAAGGAATAGATCACTGAAGCGAGGTTGGCTGTCCTTGTTACCCTGGAATCGGATTGTCCTGAGGGGACAGTGTAAGTTACAATTCAGAGATCATTTTGGAAAGGCCATCCCTGACCCACTGATACAAATAACCCCTCTGGCCACCTCATACTAGTGGTTCCCCTGCTTGGCAGTATATTATAATCATTTGGAGACCTTTTTTTTAAAAGCTGTTTCTTGCACCCTGCTCCCACCAGATTCCGATTCAGTTAGTTGAGTCTAGTCTAAGCATTGGCATTGTTAAAAGCTTACAGGATGATATTAATATGCATGCAAGGTTAAAGAACACAGCCTATCAATGTGCCTTATTTTTTTCTTACAGCACTTACTACTCTGTGACTTATTTAACTGATTTCTTTACTTCTCATCTGCTTTTCTCCACCCCTCCAACCCCCCATTAAAGCATGGGGTGCTGCTTGGAAGAAGGGCAAGGGAAGGCCTGGGTGGTGAGTCAGCACTTTGGGTGTGTGAGGTGGGGATAAATGAAAGAGAAATGGAATCAGGGGAAACAAGTCCTGCAGACTTCTGCTGTGCTTCTTCTTTGTCCAAGGGTTGACCTTATTTGGTGACCCATCATTGTCATGTTTGTGGATATGTCTCCAGTTCTTTCTATAGATCCTGGCCTGTTAAGTTTCAGGTCTTACCCAGCACCCTGTGAAATATAGCTGCTGTTTGTTATTTATTTATTGAGGTATGGTTGATATGCAATATTATATTAGTTTCAGGTGTTCACCATAGTGGTTTGACATTTATATACATTATGAAATGATCACCACAATCAGTGTAGTTACTGTCTGTCACCATACAGAGTTATTACAGTATTATTCACTATGTTCCCTATGCTATGTTTGCATCCCCATAACTTATTTATTTGGTAACTGGAAGTCTGTACCTCTTAATCCTCCTCATCTATTTTGCCCACCCCCCCCCACTCCCCTCCCCTCTGGCAACCATCAGTTTGTTCTCTGTGTTTATGAGTTATACAGGGGCAATTTGGAAAGTTTGATATATAATTTTTTAGAGGGGGAGAGGCAGAGGGAGAGAGAGAAAGAGAGAGAGAGGAGAATCTTAAGCAGGCTCTATGCAGAGCCTGACACAGGGCTTGATCTCACAACCCTGAGATCATGACCTGAGCTGAAATCAAGAGTTGGATGCTTAACTGGCTGAATCACCCAGGTGCCCCTGATATATAAATATTTAAGTTTGGTTATATTCCATGTAAATCTGTGATCTGTCTTCTATGTAGGGGGTCCATGTATTCTGAATTAAAATTCTAGACATTTGGTCTGGCAAGTACAATTATATTTATGTGGATAGCAGTTCAGGGTTTTTAGAATGGGGACTGTCCCAGAAACTGGATGTGTGGTTATCCTGTAATATTGTCTTTGTGAAATGGTTGTCCAAGAACTTTAGTTCCCTAGAGGAGGGGTTTGCTGCCTAATTTTCTTTTTAGTACTGAACTCAACTATCTCATTGATGTTACTGACAGTTTTAATTCCCGGTGATGAAGCAATCACTCTGTAATTCTCTTATGAGATGGGTAGGATGTCAGGTACATAAGGGCAGTCTAGGGTTGTTGCGACAACATACATAAATAGCCACTGTTTTTTATTAGTAGTAAAGGATATGTTTCTCCTCCTATGTTATACTGAAATCTATGTGCATCTCGGTATAAAATTGTACTCTTTATTTCAAATATGTTTTCCTTAATTTCAGTATCTTTAACCTGTATGTCATATGCGTATCCCTGTTGCAGCAGGAAGAATGGTATAAAAATGAGAAAACATCAACCCGTGCTTTGAATGTGGCAAGAAAAGAAGAAGCGTTGTCATGATTGCTTGAATTCAGGACTTTACACTGGAAGGAAAGTTAGATGTAAGCTCTAATCTCTTAGTTCTAATAAGCATCTCTTCTTGGGAACTGGAAATTTAAAAAAAAAAGGTACATAACATTCAGTAATGTATTTTTATTTTCCATTGAGCTAGGAAACTTTTCCTTAGAGTCATTCCCATCTAGCACTTTTGTTTTTACTCAATTCTAAGGCACTTTGAGATACCGAATGATACTGTCTTGCTGTCTTTGCAAATAACTTTCTTCTTATAATGCCTAGGTTTTATATGTAGGAAAACAGTAGAGAACAGTTAGAGATTCCTTCTTTCCCTTTGAAATTTTTCATTTTAAATTGAATTGTTTTCCTATATTTGGTTTAATGCTCTGTTTCTCCTTATGGCTCATCTTTAATTATTACTTTTAGAAACCTGCTTTTTTCTTTTTATTTGTAATTTTTATTTCCTGGTGAAAAACTAGGACACAAAGGTAAAGATGAAGGAGAAAAAAAGCTGTGCAGAGGTAACAACTATCAACATTGTAATATATATCTTTTCAAAGAGAGGTCTAAGTCGCCTCAAGCCACATCCACTTAGATACACAAATGGGTCTCTCAAGCCTCAGTGCTCTACTTTCTCCTAGCAGGAAGTTGGGTCTTTTCTTGGCATGCCCCTCCAGTAATGATCCTTGGCCGTGAGGGGTTTCTTGCATGTTTGCATTGCTGCCTGCATCCCTCTAGTCCCCGTAGTTCTGGAGTCTGCTGCCCTTGCCGTGCTGCTGCACCCCCTGACCTCTGCTGCACTGCTACCACCTGGCTCTGAATAACACTGACCTTCTCGAAGCTGCTGCTGTTTCCGCAGTACACACACTGTGCTTACTGCTGTGCTGCTGAATCTCGGTCGAGTATCATCTTCGGTCTTCTCCCTCTCTGGGCGTGAGGGAAGCCTATGATTTTTTTTTTTTTAAGATTTTATTTATTTAACAGAGAGAGACATAGCAAGAGAGGGAACACAAGCAGGGGGAGCAGGAGAGGGAGAAGCAGGCTTCCTGCGGAACAGGGAGCCCGATGTGGGGCTCGATCCCAGGACTCTGGGATCATGACCTGAGCCGAGGGCAGACGCTTAACGACTGAGCCACTCAGGTGCCCCTGGAAGCCTATGATTCTTATGGCCACCTCCTTGAGAGGGTTTCTACGGAGGAGCATTTGGGCCCTGATGACAGTTATTTCTTCTAATTCATAGCCATTCCTTCCCAGAATTTACAGGCACTTTGGGGTGAGTGGGTGCTTGGGTGTTAGAGAGGGGCGGGGTTGAGGGGTCATCAAATGCTTAAGTGCAGTCTTCCACAGTGCTTGGTATCCCTGTAGAGGTGACAGCCTGTAGAGGAATAAATATTCCTATTTAATTGAGGAGAGGAACTACCTCTTGCCTAATAGGAGTGTAAGCTTTTCCGTGGGAATTTCTGGCACTGAGTACAGTGTGTGGTACAGAGTAGGCCTCCATAATTTTTTGTTTTGTGCATTGTCGAATCAACATATATCATGTAAAGGGGGAGGTGCTGTGAGGGAATCAAAGGAGTATGATACATTGTTATTATTAAGTTGCTTTTTCTCTGATACATGGTTTCTGTATTTTGTTTTGTTTTTAAGATTTTATTTATTTGACAGAGAGAGCATAGGCAGGGGGAGCAGCAGAGGGAGAGGGAGAAGCAGCTCCCCGCTGAGCAGGGAACCCAATGCAGGACTCGATCCCAGGACCCTGGGATCATGACCCGAGCCGAAGGCAGACGCTTAACCGACTGAGCCACCCAGGCGCCCCCTGTTTTGTTTTGTTTTTTAAGATTTTTATTTATTTGAGAGAGAGAGCTCACAAGTGGGGGAAGGGGCAGAGGGAGAGGGACAAGCCAACTCCATGCTGAGCACAGAGCCCTACATTGGGCTCGATCTCACTATCCTGAGATCACCACCTGAGCCAAAACCAAGGAAGTGTTTGAGTACCTTCAGTTGGACGCTTAACCAGCTGAGCCACCCAGACGCCCCTGGTTTCTGTTTTTTGTTTTTTTTTAAATCATAATTGGTATAAGTCTACTTGGGGGCACAGGAAATACGTACAAATACAGAGGAGTGAAAACGCTGAGAAGTGAAGTGAGAAGGAAGTGCTGTGGGAATTCTGAGGATGGAGAGCAAGATAGAATAGCTTAGCTCTGTCTCCTTTATGAAGCGGAGGTGAGGAGGAGTTGTCGTGGTCCTTGTGGCATGGGAATGGATTAGACAGACGGAGTGGAAGAGTGAGGGAGGAGAACAGCTTGCCAGGTCCAGTACAAAGCTGCAGGGAACTCTGGTGCAGCTGAGGTATTCAGAGATCCTCTGCACCATAGTTGTGTACCCTTTCACCTTGACTTCTCCACCCTGCCCTCCATGGAGAGTCTAGGTAGAAACAAAATCCTAGTATTTTTTTCTGTTTACCTATACTGAAATAACAACTGGGGAAAGCATTTTGAGTTCATTCTATGGGGGAACAGGTAGGAGCGGCAGGCTGTGAAGTCCTCTGCCTCTAGCAGTTATGATGAAGGATTTGGGTCTCTTTTTAATCCTCAGGCTTAGCTTTTCTTTCCTATATCTTCAGGGCAAGTGTCTTCCCTCCTGGGCCCTGTTACTCAGCTGAGGGAGCATCATCAGTTCTACATATATGGTGGGGGAGCTGGATATCCAAAGGGTGTTTCATGTCTTCTGCTGTGCAGGGGGACAGCACTCCTTGTTTCCTAGAGGAGGTTGGGATGGTTTGCACAATCTTCCAGAACTCTGCATAAAATCACTAGGTTTCCTCTCAATGCTCGTCAAATATAATTACTTCAGGAGTGTTATATAACTTGAACTATAAGGGAAGGGGAGTGATTTTATTTACTTAGACCTCTAGAAATTTAGCAGTGACTTTAATTTTCTAATTCTAAGGGTTTGAAGACATTCTTTTTTTTTTTTTTTAAAGATTTTATTTATTTATTTGAGAGAGAGAGAATGAGAGACAGAGAGCATGAGAAGGAGGAAGGTCAGAGGGAG